CCTGGAAATCCCCACCCCTTCCCCAAGTAATTGGAATAATCCTCCCACTAGTTAGCATATTAAATTATCAAGCCCATAGAAACTAATCACCCCTGCACCCCAGGACCTCTCACCTCTTGAGATGGCCTGTATTCTGCCTATGGAATGTATATCTCCTAAGCCATTCTCACTTTCCAAGATGACCCCATCTCCCGGGGCCTCTCGCCTTCTGAGATGACCCACACTCTGTCTATGGAGTGTGTATCTCCTTAAATAAATCTAACTTCACTTTACTATGGCTCACTCTTGAATTCTTTTCTGCAGGAAGCCAAGGACCCTCACGTGGCAGGGTGTGTCCCAGGGACTTGCCCAAGACTGAGGACATGACCATCGTCTTATGCCCCATTTTCTCGCAACACTAACTCTCCTAGGGGAAAAGAAGGAAATCAAAGGGAGGAAAGATGGTCACCTGGTGAAAAGAATGCTCTCCTAAGACCCAGATGCCTTAAACTAGCTTGTTTTCATATTGGCTGCCTGGAATATGGGGATAACAACTGTGAAGATGTAGATTCATGTTGTGGAGAATTGGAGCAGATGGAAGGATTCATTTTCTGCTGTGAACACTTTGACAAGACAGTTCTTGTACAGGTCAGAATGTAGCAACATGTCTTGAAATTGTAATCTTTCTGTTTTTCTTTCCCCTACTTCCTGGTAAGTGCTGTGTCCCCTGGTGAGTCAGAGGTATCCACATTACCCTGAGATGAAGTGGAATTGTTACAACAGTAATGAAAACAGCAAGAAGAAAAGTTTCAGACTTTTAGGCTGATTTTTGAGAATCAAAAGGTAATGTCTAAAGAAAGCAGAACAATTGAATTTGTACCGTGATGATAGCATTGAGTACACAGGGAGGCTATGACACCATCCTTTCTCTCCGTCAAAGGAAAGAGCCAGGACAGGGTGTGGCGCTTTGGGGGAGACAATTTTTCCATGGTTCTCTCACTTTTCTGCCGAGGCTTGTGACAGCTTTCATTCTGGACTGTCTTTTCAAGGATGTCTGGAGCATGAACAGCCTTAACAGACAGAGGTTTTGTCTCCTTCTGGGGCAGAAGGCAGATATATTTTCCAACCAGTATAATAAAGATAATGTTTCCCTCTGGGGCAAAGGTTGGACATGTTTGGGCATGTAGCCCCCTGTAAGAGTTGGGGTTTCCTAAGTTTGGGGTTCCTCAGCTGTGGCACAAACCAACTTGAGCGCAGCAAACACCTGGCCCCACCTCCATGCAGCCTCCATGATACTTGGAGGACGAGGAGAACAAATGTAAATGTAAAGCTCATGCTGCCTGCTGCATCATGGATAAAAAGTCCATGGCCTCAGACCCAGGAATTTCAGTCCTCCACCAGGATCTGCGAAACTAGCAGCCAGCGTGTAGCTTGCAAGTCGGGTAACACCTCACACCCTTCATAGTTCTTGATCACACTAGATCTGAGCTAGGGAACAACAGACCATGTCCTGGGGATGGGGATTGGGGTGCTCATCAAAGAGGAGCAGAGTCAGTGTCGAGAGGCTGTCAAGGACCTATACAGAGAAGGAAGAAGGGCCCCTTGGGATTCCCAGATCGCCTACAGAATACTTCTTTTCATTGCAGGAAACACGACACTTCTGCTGTTTTCCTAACAACAGTTCTCGGCCAAGAGCAAAATCACTTCCCCAGTGAGCTGTTAGAAATGCGTGGAGGGAGGTTTTGGTTGTCCAAATAATAAGGTAGGGGTAGAGAAACCACTAGTATGCCATGACACAGTGTCTGGGGACCAGGTACGCTAATGGTCACCGTGAAGACTTGTCCTTCCCCAGCTGACAGTAGCGTCACAGTTAAGAAACTCTAGTCTAGTGGAGTGTAGGCCTTCCATCAACAGCTACCTGCCCTCTGGGAGGAATTTTCCAGCAGGAGGACGCGTGCTCCTGCCTGAATCTTCGCATGCTCAGGGCTAAAAGCCCCCTGTGGATGCCCTTCCTTTTTGAAGGCCCTGAAGCAGATAAGCACGCCCCATGTGGAGGTCTTGACAACAGGGCAGGAGTTGGGGAAGGGAGCGGGAAAGCCAGTCCCGGGACTTGAGTGGACTGCACAGTGCTGAAACCCTCCCTACCACGCTACCATTTATCCGAATGGGCTATATTTTTATGAGAAGTAGCTCATCAGTAATAACTTGTATCTTTTATTTATTCATTTTTTGATGGCGGCACTGGGGATTGAACCCAAAACTTCATGCACGCTAAGCACTACCACTTAGTGTACTGAGCTCTACCCATCCATCCTCCCAACTTAACATCTTTTAAATGGTAAGCCAAAAACGTCTTGACATTAACTAGAAGCAGCTTCCGTTACTGTGTAAAAAATAGCAAAATAGCACACATTCACTTCAATTCAACAAGTGTTTATCGAGCGCTTGCTACATGTTCGTCATTGTACTAGGCGCAAGAGAAATAAAAATGGCTTAGGTATGAACTCAGCTCACAAAGATCTCACAATCCTCCAGGAAAAACAGACACTTATACAACTAATTACAATAGAACATATTGAACAAGACACCGAATCTGTTCTTGCATAAATGTTTTATTCTTGATATTCAATATTAATCAGCCACAGAAAGCTATTTTGGAATGTATGGATGTATGTTATTAGGACACCAATGGTTGCTTTTAATACAATGTGCTTTTTGTAGGAATCAGAGGAAAAATGTGCAGCTCCATAAAGAAAAATAGTTATTTCAAATAAGAATGTAAAAAAAGAATAATTCAGCCTGGGGTTGGGTGAAGGGCAGGGGAAGAAGGTTGGTTATAAAAGAAGGGAAATCCACCCATTTCTTCTCTCCCTTCTTGAGGTTCACTGAGGTGTGGTTAGGGCATTTGTGTAGCCCAGCGTTCCCCCCGAACATCGCGACAGAGAACATCACCCAGAGGCCTGAGCACCTTCTAAAATCCCACGTTGCTTTGCCTTCCGTTTCAAATTAATTGTGTCTATTCAGCTCTTACTCTTCCTCGAAATGAAACGAAGACTGTGAGGTCCTTCACTAGCATCTGCTGACAGTAGGAATGCACCTTCTTTTTAGGCAAAAGATAAATTTTAAACCCAAATTCTGGTTACATATAATAAACTAAAGTAAAAATGAGCAATGTCCCTTTCAAATAAAAATACTGATTGACAAAAGGTAATAAACATAGAAGATAAGATTAAAGGAAACATGAAACGTAGAAGATCCTCATTTCTTTTGACTTTATGGTGTTTTGCAAATATATCCAGTGCTCTATATTGGTATCTATGGTTACTGAATGGGAAAAAAAAATACATCAGTCACATATGTCCCAAAGCTCAAGCTATTTATTTGTAAATCTGGAAATGTAAAATAAAAGCACTACAAACTGACAAAAATGAAGGGGAGGAAAACATGCAAAATTTAGCCATGACCATGATTGAATTTTTTTCATGAGAAGCTTCATCTTTAGTTTTAAAACAGCCAGACACCTGAAAAAACAAGAAAATGTTACAATGAAATAGAAAATGAAAATGATAAAAATGATACAAATCAATGCAAAGACCCAAAGGTGAACATATTTTATTGAAAACTCTTTTTGTCTTCATTTTCTAATCAGAGTCGTTAGGAAAGAAGAGCTTACAATTATGAAATATTCTTCAAATCAGAAGCTTTGCTTCCTTCACAAAGCTGAATATTTCTTATTATATTCAATACCTCTAACTGGGTGCTTTCTCTGTTCCCCGCCCTCAAACATTATCTCATTTCATGCTCACGTGAAAGTATGTATTTGATGTTTTTTCTGGTACTTTCTATGAGTTAGAGTTTAGCATCTGCAATTTATGACTGAATAAACCAAGGCTTACAAGTAACTTGTATGCAATACTGTCTCAAACTGAAATAGGTACTTTATAGCAGTAATTATTCTCTGTTTTAGTGTCTGGCATCCTGAACCTGAGTGTGAAAAATAGTCAAGGGAACCCTTCATTAATATCATTTTTTTTTCTATTTTATTTTCTCCTTGTAGGACAGTTTTCAAGTGCATATGCCACATGGTAAATTGCATCTTCTTTTTAGACTAACAATGATTATTTTTAAAAAATCACACATTTTTAAAAAAAATCATCA